TGCTTAAAGTTAGATGTGTGTAAATACCTTGTTGATTCTGGGCCTTGGCACAGAATTGTGTTTGTGTTCCATCAGAGAGCCAATTTTTAGAATAACTGTTTCTCAGGGCTTTAGGGTTTTAATATTTCCACACTATATAACCTCCTTCCTTCCTCTTCCCATCATTTTAGCTCTTTGGAGCTTGGGTTTTTCTTTTAGGAGGAGGGGCTTATATTTATACGGTTGTTCTGGATCACCTTTCATTTAACTCTTGAATTTATAGAATTGAAGGATTGATAGAGCAGGAACTCAGTGTTCAATTAAGTGAACAAATGCCTTTTGAGATAGCTAGAAGAGAACATGCAACTACTTGGGTTAAGCGATTCAGTGTAGTTGTTCTACAGGCTATGATTTAAAGAAACCCAGAATGTGTATTTTTAAAACCACTCAAGTCTAGCAGGACAGTGTTCTGCCAGAAATACCATATCTTAACTGAGCAGAAAATCTTATCTTTTGAAGTTACTATCAGCCACCAGCTCTAACCATATAGTAACAATAATATTTCTCTATAGCATTCCTGCCCTCCCACCTCAATTATGTCTGGCATTCAATGTGATGGAACTAAAGGGATTCCTGTGACGGGTTGGATCACAGAAACCCCCTTGGGGCTGCCAACTGATGTGCCAAGACTACTTCTGCCCCTGCTTTCCCTGCCAGCTTGGGACTCCAGCACCCTGACTTGTTGAACCAGACACACCAGTCTGCTCCAACACACATCCAGGGTCTGAACCACGTGCCCCAAAGCTGCAGACTTAACTGAAAGCAACTTAAGAAGTGTTCCTGTCTTAAACACTCAGATGCCCAACTCCCAATGGGGTCCAAACCCCAAATAAATCCGTTTTACCTTGTATAAAGCTTATACAGCGTAAACTCATAAATTGCTTGCCCACTATAACATTGATAGAGAGATATGCACAGCTGTTTGCTCCCTCCCCCTCCCCCCAGGTATTAATACATACTCTGGGTCAATTAATAAGTAAAAAGTGATTTTATTAAATACAGAAAGTAGGATTTAAGTGGTTCCAAGTAGTAACAGACAGAACAAAGTGAATTACCAAGCAAAATAAAATAAAACACGCAAGTCTGTCTAATACAGTAATAAAACTGAATACAGATAAAAATCTCACCTTCAGAGATGTTTCAATAAGTTTCTTTCACAGACTGGATGCCTTCCTAGTCTGGGCACAATCCTTTCCTCTGGTACAGCCCTTGTTCCAGCTCAGGTGGTAGCTAGGGGATTTCTCATGACTGCAGCCCCCTTTGTTCTGTTCCACCCACTTATATAGCTTTGGCACAAGGCGGGAATCGTTTGTCTCTCTGGGTCTCCCACCCCTCTTCTAAATGGAAAAGCACCAGGTTAAAGATGGATTCCAGTTCAGGTGACATGATCACATGTCACTGTAAGACTTCATTATCCCCTTGCCAGCACACATCTATACAGGAAGACTTACAAGTGAAACAGAGCCATCTACAGACAATTGTCCTGGTTAATGGGAGCCATCAAGATTCCAAACCACCATTAATGACCCACACTTTGCATAATTATAGTAGGCCCTCAGAGTTATATTTCATATTTCTAGTTTCAGATACAAGAGTGATACATTTATACCAGGGGTAGGCAACCTATGGCATGCGTGCCGAAGGCGGTATGTGGGCATGTGAGCTGATTTTCAGTGGCACTCACACTGCCCGGGTCCTGGCCACCGGTCTGGGGGGGCTCTGCATTTTAATTTAATTTTAAATGAAGTTTCTTAAACATTTTAAAAACCTTATTTACTTTACAAACAACAATAGTTCAGTTATATATTATAGACTTATAGAAAGAGATTTTCTAAAAATGTTAAAATGTATTACTGGCACGCGAAACCTTAAATTAAAGTGAATAAATGAAGACTTGGCACACCACTTCTGAAAGGTTGCTGACCCCTGATTTATACAAATAGGATGACCACACTCAGTGGATTATAAGCTTTGTAATGATACCTTACAAGAGACCTTTTGCATGAAGCATATTTTAGTTACGTTATATTCACACTCATCAGCATACTTTCATAAAATCATATAGAGTGCAATGTCACAATTCCCTTGTTTATTGACATGAAATGACAGATGCAATTCTACAAGAGAGTCATTTGGAGAAGTCTCTTCATAAGCTTTGAGACGATGTTTTCCATATGTGGAGATTCAACAATCTTGACTGGTATTTTAAAGTGTTTCCCGTATTGAAATGTCACAGGGACTTTGCGAAAAAATTAATTTGACCCTGGTATAAAGATAGGTGAACTTAACATAGGAGAAAATAAACTGTTGTAATGGTGAGTAATAGCTGTATGTAATTTCAGCTGTAGAATATAGAGCACTTGCATTGCTTTAATTAAAATTAGTGTCATTAGTGAAAAGAAAGCAACCAATTAAATATATAGAGGTAGTCTCATGTATCATTAGAACCAAACAGGTGATATGTTTTTGCTTCTTGCAGGGTATCAAAGTTTAGTGTGGGTAAATTTAGGTGTGGATTTTTTTTAAAAAATCAGAAGATAGAAATAGTAGAAGACAGAACTGATTTCCCCCCCCCCCCCACCACCGTTGTATGATCGTGCCATCCTCCAGCTGCAAAATACTGGTCATGATGATCTAGCAGTTTTATTTTTTCACAATTCTTGGTGTAGCCTATCTGAAGCTGAGGCTTCAGTGGACAATCATCTGGATCATGAAACTATCTGTACAGAGTTGATGATAACTGGTATTGTGGCAGTTACAAAAGAAAGGCCAAGGATTGACTTGACTGAGCATTAATGCTGAATTACCTGTCAGCCATAGGTGTGATCCATAGAGCTTTTGGTTGAGACTGGGCAGGGGAAAGGCAGTTTTCTCTACAAATGTATGTCCTGTGAATATGCTGTGGATAAATAAAAATTACTTTCTCCGAGACAGTCAATTTGATCTTGTGAACCTGACACTTTTTGAAATACTCAAAAAAAAAAAAAAAAAAAAAAAAAATCCATCCATGTTATTTAAAATGTTTTGCTCTCTAAGGTTTCTCATAATGAAGTCATACAATGCCTGAGTACTAAATAGAGTTGGTCAAAGATTTTCATGCTGGAAGTCGCCCTCTCCCTCCTTGGAAAATACAATTTCATCAAAATTTAAATTTTTCACAGGGGAAAATGTACATTGTTTTCCCATGGGAAATTTCTAAATGAAGTGACATTTTATAAATTAATTTTTATATTTCAAATTTTTTCAAAACTTCTCATGGGAAAACTAAAATCTTTCTACAAAATTAATTCAAATAAATGTTTTTAATTAAGAAACTTCTCACAAGAAGAGTTTCTGTTTTTGACCAGCTCTCATACTAAACTTTAAAAAACATCCACTAATTTTGGAGGCCCCTGTTGAAACCCCTAAACCTTGAATCCATTAGAGCATTTTGTAACCTACTTTCTAGTAACAGCACTAACAACAATGAAAGTTCTGGGGTAAACAAGCTTCAGGCATTTTTATTAACTTGTCATGAAAAATCTGCTCTAAGCAGGCTTTTTGATGATATGGTTGAAAATGACTCAGAGTAGGTTTTCATGATACGGTGAAAACACCTTGGGTCTTGACTACACAAGAACATAAACTTGCTAGAAGAAGTACAGCTGCTGGTAAATGCACCCTAATTGAAGCCCCCATCACTTTTGAGAGCCAGGCCATAGGTGTGTCCAGTTGGGCATCCTGTGGTGGGGTATTTAAACGCCACACTGGAGAGCAGGGTTTTAAGGACCAGCTTTGAGCCCAGGCAGTCCCGCCCAGACACGCCTGCGCAAGCTGGAGGCAGGGCTTTAAAAAGCGGAGTGGAGCAGCTCAGAAGCAGGCAGTGGAAGGAAGGGAGCAGGCAGCTGCTCTGAAGGGAAAGTACTGCCCAGGAGCCCATTGCCCAGACCTGACAACACAGACCTGTGCAAAGCTACAAAGAAGAGTCAGGTGACTGAGTGTGCAGGTCAGAGACTAGATTGAAGTGATTTATTCTGTGAAGCTAAAGATGACTGGGGTAGGAAGTGGTCCCAAAGGGGTGGGGCGGGGCTGTGTAGTACCAAGTGGTGCTGCCCACCATTGGGCCCTGGACTGAAGTCTAGTGAAAAGGGTGGACCCAAGAGGACATTACAACAAGAGCCTTCATGTACAGTGAGAGGCCAGCTGGAAAAGATGTTGCCTGTTCAAGAGCCCAGTCCCCAAGATCCCTGTGCTAAAGGGGAGGACTGGAAACCCTTGGGGTGGAAGTGCTGAAGGACGTGACTGTGTTTCAATGGGGAGACAACCTGCCAACCTCGTCCTGACCACTAGGCAGTGCTGTCGGTGAATGTGCACCGTCTCCACACTCAAAATAAGTGGACACTTCAGAATTTAGAACTTGGTCTTCAAGCTCACACTGTACTCAGTCATATATGTGCCTCAGAAAGTACTACCATACATCCTCATGTTATTGGCTTACTTTTATCAATAATTTCTGCAGTTATTTTCTGCACTGGTTTTAAAAACATGGCTTAATTTTTGTGGTTGATATGAAAGCTCTTAAATCTTGTTAATCTGTGAATTGCTGCTTGAGCATGCATCCTTTTCTTTTTTCACTCTTCCAGGAAATATTGTTTGTAATTTTTTTTTCACCTGTTGATTTGTTTTCATTGGACAACTCCATTCTCAAGGACATGTAAAACTGATTCGTGGCCTTGCTTTTCTCAGTGAAGTTAGTGTGGGACAAATAGGTCTGATATAGAATTGCTTACTTCTTCTGATCCAGTTGTTGTTAACCAGGCTTACCTGGTGATGTCTGAAATTAGTATTTATAGAAGGAAACTAAAAATATGGAATATGCCTGTAGAATGCATGATGTGTTTTTTATTAAAATCCAGGTTAGCCTAGTCTATGCTTTGTGAACTGGTAAAATACTTCCACCAATGTTTGCTGCTACTCTTTAGGGACACAGCAGGTCAGGAGAGATTCAACAGCATTACCTCAGCTTATTACAGAAGTGCCAAGGGAATCATATTGGTGTATGATATCACCAAGAAGGAGACATTTGAGGATTTACCAAAATGGATGAAAATGATTGATAAGGTAGGCTCCAATTTCTCTGAAAATAGAAAATACAGTATATGTAATGCTTTATGAAAGGGACACTATTAAATTACATTTTTACAGTGTGGTTTTGTAAAAAACCTTAGATTAAAAACTTAAATTCTTTTGCTATGGATTTCCACTTCATTCTTTTAGCAAGCATTTATTTTGTGTGCTTATTCTTATTCTTCTGCTGACTTCTGTGAACTAAAATTGCTGTCATCAGTGTTGTCAGAAATGTGCATAGATTTGGGCACCCATCTGTGCACTGGAAAACCATGCATTCTGTTTACCTTCTTTGCATTAAGGCCACAATAGTCCCTCTATGGGAAACTCAGGTATATTTCTCATGTGGTATTATGGAATGTGTTTAGAAGCAGAAAGAAATAAGGATATATATCCTTGAGATAATGTTTGTACAAAGCTTTGATGATACAGAACTCATGCAGGTACATCAGTATTAGTTTTTACTAACAGTGTAAAAATCTTACGTTTGTGGATGTAGTTAACTAGAAATACCGTATTTTTCTGTATTCAGTATGCCTCAGAAGATGCAGAGCTTCTACTGGTTGGAAATAAGTTGGACTGTGAAGTTGACAGAGAGATTACTCGACAACAGGGAGAAAAGGTAAGAGCAGGTGGAATCAAATCATTAACATCCTTTAGTGATGGTGAAAGAAGGTGGTTGTGGGCTCATATTGGAATTGTGAAGAATGTACAGCTGTAAGTTTGGACTGTGCTGAATCTTTTGCAAGTTTGAGATAAATCTAATGATGGTTGAAATTCCAAGCCAGGCAAGCATTGAGTGGAATCACATTGCCCCTTGAAAAATACCTGACTCTTTGAGGGGAGAGAGGGAAAAGTTAATTAGGTAAAAAGGAGAAACCTTTTTTTCTAACTTAGTGTTTGATTAAAAACAACAGTTGTACTGCCTTTGCTATAAACAAGTACCTACAGCAGGGACACTGCTTTGATGTTGCATCTATGATACTACTCTCCTTCATACCCTTAGAGTTATAGAAGACATACAGTGTTTTAAGCATACATTATTCTACCAAAATCTGCTTTTAAGCTTATACCAGGTATTACAGAACATACTCAGGTGTGTTTCTTTAATGTAAGGAATATCATCTTGCCCTAAAGAAACAGAGGAAATTAGAAGGTACTAACTTGGGCTGGATCCTCAGAACCCCAAAGTAGCATGAAGTGTTGGAGAAATCAGCTGAAGATTCCCCTCACATCCTCAGCTGGTGTAGAACTGACTATAGGCTGCCCTTTCCATTCCCTCGCTGAAGGGGAGGGAGGGAGGTTGTGGCATCTTGTGCTCAGGGCCAGCAAATGACCTCTGGGGGCTTGTTACAGCTGGTGTAGGTTAAAGCATCCATTAAACTGCTCTAACTTATATGAGGGACCAGAGTAGCTCCTGACTGTCCCGAGATTAGTGAAGCACAAAATTGGCTTTAAGCGACTTCTGTATTGAGCACAGCTTGGGCTAGACTCGAGAATTGGCTCCTTGTCTGGATCATTACATACCTATTATTGAGTCAAAGTGATCATGATCCATTTCTTCCTCACTGGCATGACTTCTCCAGGAATCTTAAACTCCAAAAAGGAAGAGCATTTTCTTCTGTAAAAAGAAGTATAGGTGAATGCACCTAATTTCCACTGTAATAATTTTCCAAGGGGGACTTATCCATTGCTGGACTTCTGTTTAGGTTCAATCTGCTATTTCAGCCTCTTCCAAATTGCTCCTGATCACTTCAAGCTGTGAGAAAACCAGACCATGAAATCAACCCCTGGCATCTCTTCCAGTAGGTTACTATCCAGGAGACTAACCATATGTACCCACAGTGCTCAGGGTGTGTAAGGTTGGTTTTCTATGGAAGAGAATCGTTTGAATGTCTCCTGAAATTCTAGAGACATCAGACCAACCTGGGAAGATTTTGGAATGTGAAGACAGCTTTTCAAAATCCAGGCTTTGACAATGCACAAAATAAAGATTATGTAACCTGTCATGCTATCCATGTGTTGGAAATGAGCACAAAGGTGCTGCTGAAAGCTAATGCACTGTTGACATTGGCTCTCCATATTTGTTAATTGGGGATGGGGGGGGGGGGAAGAGTTCTTGTTATAAGATGTAAAGTATTGTCATGGCATGACTTCTGGAGGATACTGTGGACAGAGCACTGGAGGGGGAGAGATATTTCTAAAACAGACTGCAGTAATCTTAGGGGAAATCCAGATAAATACTAGCTGATAGCTGTTTGATTTAAAAAAAAAAAAAAAAAAAGTTTCGCCTTGTGTTTTTACTTGAAAAACTCCTCTTCTGATATTCTGGAATTGTTTAGGGGCTAAGTATGTAAGTGCATGATGTGAAGGCATAAAGGGACATGTGAATAATTTGTCCTTTGGAAGAAGTTAAATATGTACCCAAATATTTTCTGAAAATTTGGTGTATTAATGCAGCAGACCATAAGTGCTGCTTAGCTCAAGGCACTAAGATTGAAAACCTCTTTGTAGTTCATTACCAACTTATATGAAAACAAAGTAACAAGGGTACTCTTAACTGAGCATCTTCTAACTGCAATTTTGAAAATGCTTTTTCTCGTGTTTGAACCTAAGTGTGTGTGTATTTTTTTACATGGATGTGTCATAGAATAAGAATGGGTAGGCATGGTGTTCAGGTGAGATGATATTAAAGTTCGGGTGCATGGAGTCCCTGAGAGCTTTGCATTTTTCCTTTTGAATTTCTTAGAGCTGAGTGGAGGTATTCCACTTCCAAGAGGATTTTGCTATTTCCAAATCTGATTTCATTCCAATTCAGAACAAATTCCCACAATTTTGAAATCCTCCATGGAATGAGATGGAACCATAGCCCTGGGTTAAGTCTGCCTGGCAAGCTGTTCCAAAGCCACGGAGCATATATGCTTGCATTAATCCTGGCATTTTCTAGTGCTGCTAGTTACTCATTTTCAAGAGCATCAACTTCATCTAAAAGCAAATGAAAAGAAATAAAACAAAACAAACATAAATATATGAACTGAAATGTTCTCTGTATGAGCTGTGTATTCAGCACACTAAGTCACGTTTTTGTATGTGTGGTTTCATGGTTGAGCTAACATTTATCTTTTCATTAATGACATTTCATTATTTGGTTTTCAGTTATTTCTTGATTTCGTCTTGACATGGTAAACTAACGGAATGTATTAAAGACAGCTTAAATTTTTACACACTGATTACACTCTTCAAAACAGAATGGGAAGAGAAAAAATATCTTGCAGAACTGAAGTTGACTCAAATGGATCTAATGTGACACTAGATTCAGTTTTGCTCATATTTTGTCAAGTACAGTTTTTCTTTTAATCTCTTAAAAAAAAATCCAGCTTCATGTAGTTACTTTATTTATTTCCATCAGTTTGCACAGCAAATAACTGGGATGCGGTTCTGTGAAGCAAGTGCCAAGGATAATTTTAATGTGGATGAAATATTTCTGAAACTTGTAGATGACATCCTGAAAAAGGTAATATGTATGTACTGTGGAGATGGGGACTATATTTAACTACTGCTGGTACCAGTATTTGTTCAGAGCACATAATGGCAAGTAAAATTTTGACTTAGTTTGGAGGTGCCAGCATGCAGCTTGAGAACCATCTGCTATCCTTCAGCTCTTCAGTAGCAGCTAAACACTGCACGGCGGTTGAAATTTTTGTGTGTGCTTCTCTGCACGGTAACTTCATTTTAGACCATAGTTCAGTAGCTGACTGCATTTGCCTGCTTCCATTTGTTGCCATACGTTAATTGAGACTGATTTGGGGAATTGACTTAGGACAAAGCAGAAATAAATGTTCATCCTTAAATTGAAATGAGAGAGAAGAACTACAAAGGGCTGGAAAAACAAGTAGTCAGCAACTTATATGTCAACTAGCGAGAGAGAATCATCCCTGGTATGTTTGCAGACCAGAGCTTCTGTCTACAGCATAGTCCAGAGGCTAGAGCATCAGAGCAGAGAATAGAGACCCTGTCTTCTGTTTACTGCTGGCTTCAATATAGGAGAGCCTTTCCCTATCTATACAATGGCTATAACTGTTATCCACCTTCGGAAAGGGCGGTACAATCCTGGCTGAGTTGTGTTATGTAAGTGAGTATTATTAGTATCAGTGTAAATCATGGTGAGCTGTCTTTCAAAAAATTATGGTCACCTGATAGAAATGTTACTTTTTGTATTTTCAGACACCCTAAAACAATGCAAGTGTTTAGTCTTTCTCTATGGAGATAGTTTAACACAAATGAGGCTATTCTTAGTCTGAACCACTACGTTAACACTAGAAGGCAACAACTTCATTTTATGTATATTACTTATTAGTGTACCTCTTTAAACTACAGGATTATTTGTGATCTTGAATCTTATCCATGCAATCTGCCATACACAGTTCCTTATAGGTGGTCTACAATACTACTTAGCACTTCTGAAAGAGTTATAGACAAATTAATCCATACCCCAAGAGGTAGGCAAGTATTATCCCCATTTTACAGATATGGAAGCCAGGACACAGAGAAGACTGGCTGATTTGTCCAAGGCCACCTAAATTTGAGGCAAAATTAGGAATTCCGCAGATTTAATTTGCTCTCCAAGCATTATGTTTAATTCAATAAATTGCACATGCTTCACATAGATAACGCTTCTGGAATATTAAAAACTTTAAAATACATTCTCTATAATTGACAAACTGGCTACATGAAAACTTCTCCCCAAATTAAGTATATTTCCTTCATAACATATGAATTGTTCCATGCTTCTATTTGTCAACATAGCAATATTGTATTTTTAACACTGATTTGTAACTTTTTCTTTCTCTTTGAAAGTGGTAATTGAAATATTTTTATGTTGGGGTCCTTACGTTAATATTTTAGCTGAGCATTAGTTCTGCAGCTTTTCTTTTCAATTGAAATAAACTAAAAAGTTCAGTGCAGGTAATCATTTATAGACTTTTTTTTTTTTTTAAAGATGCCTCTGGATATTATGAGGAATGAGTTGTCCAACAGTATACTGTCCCTGCAACCAGAGCCAGAAATCCCACCTGAACTGCCTCCGCCGAGACCACACGTCCGTTGCTGTTGACTTGTTGCTTCATACAGAGTGGGAGAGAGAAGAAAGGGTCTGCACTACAATCATTTGGCAGTTTCGTGTTGCACTTTGTTTTTCAAGTCAGAACTACACACTTATTTGTAAATATGCAAATATGCAATCCTGTGTAAGATTCAGTTGCAACAGTTAAATATTGCCCCTCTTCCCCAAAATAGTATATTTCATTCATCACCGTAGTGTTATAAATATTGTACAGTATAGGGGGAACTGCCACACTCCAAGTCTAGGAGGAGGAGAAATTAAATCTATACTTATTCTTGACATAAATATTGTAATAGTCCTTGTTATTATAAACAGGCAAGCAGAAGCTCTTCTTGTATGAAGATAAGTATATGGTGCTTTGCTAACTATTTTAAAGATGAATTTTTTTAAAACTGAAAACTTTATGTACAAAGCTTCCATAACCTTCATTGTTTCCTTTAATATATTCAGATGATTTTTTTTTTTTTGGGGGGGGGGAGTGTGGTGGAGCTGTAGCATCTTCAGCTGACTAGATCTACAGCAAAGCTACTTGTAATTTCCAGCAATCTGTCTAATTATTTATTATGTTTAATAGTAGACCATTGCTTTGTGTATTAAGACATCACATTTGGTGCAATTCTAAGGGTGCAGTGTCAACTCACACATTTAATTTTCTGCTTAAACATAAGCTAGGTTGCAAGAAAAGTGGAGATGTATTTTGAATTCTAAAAGATGGTATGAAAAGCAATGCTGCTGTCCTAGACAAATTCTTTTTAAAAGGAATTTAATACATTTTCCTGTGTTGAGGGAATATATATGTGTATTTGTCTGAACATCTAGGTGGGTGGGAGGGGTTTATGGAAAACCATTTTTCTTCCCTAATGGTGGAAATTATTCCCATCAAGCATATACTGTGTTAGGTTTTTGTCTGATAATGACTTTGTGAACTATATCTTTGGTATATCTTTTATTACAATGCACTGTTTAGTTTAGTCGTGGTAAATCAGTAGTTACATATTCGAATAACTTGCTGTGTCCTGAATGTTGTGGTATTGAAAAGCATTGTGATCTTTCTAAACTAATGAAATGCAAATAAAATTTTGTATTTATGAATGACAGCGGAGCTGCACCTGTTATTAGAATGGCAAATATACCTGATGGTGGACAAAAGGTAAAATCAGTGATATAGAACAGCTTTTAAAAAAAAATTCCTTATAAAGATCTGATTCTCAGCCTTTACATTTATTTTTCAAGATAGGAAAAACAAGGCGCATTAATAGCTTGCCTTGAATACTGCACTATTGGGATGATCTAGCCAAATTGGTATTCTGTCATGGCATGTGACTGCTTTTCGTGACATCTTGGGAGGCAGTAGCAAAACTATTTATGACCCATGGGGACACAAATGTAAACCAATCTTTTGCAAAATATAGCTTATCACTACTTTTTTTATTCTCTGGTGTCTGAAATATCTTACCAATTTTGCCATTGTTCCACCCTAAACATTTACGCAGACATAATAATGTATACCCCGGACTTCTCTGGTTTCTCGTGAGTTTTCTGGAAGGAACAAAGCACTCAAAATAATTGGTGGTAATTTATACTTTGCCCAAAGGATCTTAGAGCTGTAGGGCTGCTGAATAAGTTATTACATTCTGCACACAATACTGTGCAGGGAACACATGTTTGGCACATACAGTTTCAACTAACAAACTGAGGAAGCCTGGTTGAAAATTGTACTTATGTCTTCTGCCACCTTGTGCCTAAATGGTTAGCTGTTTTTACATAGTGAACTTGTGGTTTACTCTAATACTAACAGATGAAATCCACCATTTTCTATAGCATTTGTAGGATTTCTGAAGGTACTGTGGGCAATAGCAAGGAAGGGAAAGTTATGGAAAAATAAGTTTTAACTTGACAACGATTATTTCAGCTGACTTGTTTTTACCTGTATTTAGAAATTTGTTGTGAATTTTTTCTGCAATTTTTGAATTTAATAAAAATTAAGAAAACTGACTTAGATAAACTTTTTTTATCGTGTAATTATGTACTATTGTTTCTTTATGTAATGGAGGCATTTGAATACAGGGCTGTCCCAGTTGTGACCTTTGAGGGTAACTGTAATAACTTTCATTTATTAATTGAAAATGTTTCCTGAGCCTTTGACTGTGATTTTTAAATAGTCTGCATTAACCTGATGGTTACAGGGAGGACAGAAAGGACACTGCCTCCTACCACTTCCGCTGTAGCTTTAGGAACACCTCTGTGAGTCAGGAGCCCTCTAAGCCAGCGTTTTTCAAAGTTCGGGTTGCGAACCAGTACAGGGTCACGGCATGTCAGGCACTGGGTCGCTCTGGTCAGAACCGCCAACCGGGACGTTAAAAGTCCCATTGGCGGTGCTGCCCAGCTAAGACAGGCTAGTGCCTACCTGTTCTGACACCGCGCTGCGCCCTGGAAGCAGCCAGCAGCGGATCCAGCTTCTAGGCAGGGGGGCCACGGGGCTCCATGCGCTGCCCCTGCTCTCAGCACCGGCAGGAACGTAGTGCCTACGGGCGAGAGTCGCGCAAAGCTGCTTGTGCGCCTCCGCCTAGGGGCCAGACCTGCTGCTGGCCGCTTCCGGGGCACAGCGCTATCCTTGGTGCCAAGACAGGCGGGAAGCCTGCCGCTGATCGGGAGCTGCTGGAGGTAAGTCCGTACCCCAACCCCACGCCCCTGCCCCAGCCCTGAACCCCTCCCCTGAAACCTGGAGCCCTTCCCACACCCCAAACTCCTCATCCCCAGCTCCGTTGGGTCACGGGCATCAACAATTTTCTTCAACTAGGTCCCCAGAAAAAAAGTTTGAAAACCACTGTTCTAAGCAGCTGCTGTCCCTTCCCTGCTCTAGCTTCTCAGTAGATCATCTGCTGGCTGGCTGTTGCACTGGACAGGAGGGAGAACAGAATTGATGGGAGCGTAACTGGTTCTGCCTAAGCCTAGCTGAGCACCTAAGAAAGGACTGCTCCCCTCCGCTACACAACTACCTGGGTATCCTGAGTGGAGGAGGGGGAAGAGAAGCTGGGAACCAGCTACATGTCCCTGATTCTCTCCTTCAGATCCCCCACTGGTTAGAGCAGCTGTCATTTGCATCAGCTGATTCATTTCTCAAGGAACCATGCACCAGCCTTGACTAATTGGGGTCATAGCACACATTGCCATTTCTGCTCCCCTCAGACACCTCTCCACCCCAGTATGTTCTCTGCACTAGGTGCTGCAGGGAGGGGAGGCAAGGCAGCCAGTTATGCTAGCTCCTTTGGCCACTGGGGATTCCTCCGTGCTGGAGGAATCAACTAGTGCAAAGGCAGCAGAACCCCACCCAGGAGTGCCACAAAAGAGTGGAATGGCAGAGAATCTGCCCCAAAGTAATTATGGCCCCTTGACCTCTTTGCAATAATGGGTTAAATCTTGGGTCCATTGAAATAAATGGGTATTTTGCTACCAACTTCAGTGGAGCTAGGATTTTGTCCAACATGTTCTACCTTCAGATTGAATCGAATGCTACTGTTCTAATAGCATTGTAAATCTCACATCTGTGATAACTGAAAAGCATGTTCTGAGATAGATGCAACATTTCGTTGCATTTACTATAATGGACTTAGAAATTAGTTGCCTAGTAGGTGGTACTCAGCCTCTGGCTTATGAATACATAATTTCTTTATATCTAGATGGGAGGAGAGTTCTGAATCTGGAAAGGCAGTCCTGAAATTTCTTTGTTGAAACAAGGGTTATGGTTTGGAAAAGGTTCACAGGCCTATCAGATCTCTAGTGACAATCACAGCTATGCTGTCTAGACACAGACTCTGTTCTATTAAGAACATAAGAACCGCCATACTGAGTCAGGCCAAAGCCACTTGCAGCTCATGAGCCTCAGTCTGAGTATCACTGCCTTAAGCCATGCCCTCACTACCACTTATGTCACTCAGGGGCGTGAAGAAAACACCCCCCTGAGGGACAAGTTTTGCTGGCATAACTGGTAGTGTGCTCCGTGCTATATCGGTGGGAGAGTTTCTCCCGCCAACATAGTTACTGCCGCTCATTGGGGGTGGTTTAATTGTCGATGGAAGAGCTCTCTCCTGCCAGAACAGAGCAGCTATGTAGGAGATCTTGCAGCGGCATATCTGCATCAGTACAGCTGTGCCACTGTAAGCTCTCTAATGTAGACATAGCCTTCGAGTCTGCGGACCACAGGGTGAAAACCACCAGGTTTAGTGCAAGTAGTTTAGTACGTATTGTAAGGGACTAGTCCAGATTGTCCTATGTACTACAGAGGTGTTAATGGGTCTAAGAGAAAGGGTTGTTAGTGGGTTACAAATTGTTGTAATAAGCCATAAATCCAGTGTCTCTGTTCAGTCCATGGATTTTTGGTGTATAGCAGAGTAATGAATTTACGCTCCTCTCAAGTCACAGGGCAAAAAGAGGTAACAAGCTACTGTACTTTGAATGGTCCCTTACAATGTGTGCTAACTACTTATGCTGTTCCACCTTGCATTTTGCTGTGACACTAGGAATTCTTTCCCAGACCTGAAGAAGAGCTGTGTGTGGCTGGAAAGCTTCTCTGTCACCAACAGACGTCCAGTAAAAGATATATTGTGTCACCCACCTTGTCTCCCTAACATGGCAATAAGCAGTTTGCAGTGGTAGGCAAAGAGTTTGATCTTTATCTTCAGTAAATCAATTCCCAGGCTCACCTAATCAAACACGAAAGGAGGATGTTATCTTAACGGATGGTATTTCCTCCCTCAAATACACAGATGTGGGGGTGGGGAAGTGGAAAGCTAATGTGGTACATATCTGCACCTCCTCTCTCTTTCCCTGACCTGCCTGCCCTCCTTCTCAACCCCAAATGCATCAAGCAGAGTTCAGGAAGGAAATCAACTCATTTGGAGGAGTGCAGAGAATACTGAGGGCAAGTCTACACTACAAAATTAAAGCAACCTAAGTTACATCGACATACCGCCACTGCAGTAATTTAATCGGTTTTACACGTACACACTACGTTCCTTGTGTCAGCAGTCTATGTCCTCACCAGGAGCGCTTGCACCGATTTAACTGCCAGCGTGGGACATTGTGGGACTGTTTCTGAAAAGCAGCAACAGTCAATGTAAGCAACGGAGTGTCTACCCTGACACTACATCAACCTAACTACTTGTGGAGGTGGCATTATTAAGTCAGTGTAGTGGGCAAGTTGCATCGGTGGGAGCTACATTTTAGCGTAGACACTTAGAGTTAGGTTGACATACGGCAGCTTATGTTGACCTAACTCTAATGTAGATCAGGCTTGAGTTTAGACTAGGAACAGGAATCTGTTCAGATGTTCCTTGCGCTCTAGCCTCCTCCCCCTGGAAAAAGTGGGGCCATTGCAGATCCTCCTGCTCTAGCAGATCTCATGGTATATGGAAAGGCAGAGGGACTAGCTGAAAGGTCCGTGATTCTGGCATCAAGAGCTAGCAGTACTGTCCCACCAGACAACAGATACAGATTTTGTTAGCTGGGTTAATCCCTGGATTCCAGGACACTTGTTCTGACTAATTAAAACTCCTTGCCCAAATCAGGGTTGCAAATTGGAGGATGGGCCTAAGTATGGGAATCATTCAAAAAGGAATAAAGAGTAAGACAGAATATCTTATTGCCCTTATAGAAATCCATGGTACGCCCACATCTTGAATACTGTGTACAGATGTGGTCTCCTCATCTCAAAAAAGATATACTGGCATTAGAAAAGGTTCAGAGAAGGGCAACTAAAATGATTAGGGGTTTGGAACGGATCCCATATGAGGAGAGATTAAAGAGGCTAGGACTTTTCAGCTTGGAAAAGAGGAGACTAAGGGGGGAGATGATAGAACTAGGGGCCACCAAATGAAATTAGTGGGCATCAGGTTTAAAACAAATAAAAGGAAGTTCTTCAAGTGATTGTTCATGTCCATTCCAAGCAGGTGTGTGCGCGCCGCCGGAAGATTTTCCCTTAGCAGCGTCCGTAAGGTCGGCCTGGGTGCCCCCTGGAGTGGTGCCTCCATGGCACCCAATATAGGGGCCTGCCGACCCTCCACCCTCTCAGTTCCTTCTTACTGCCGGTGACGGCTGGCTGGAACTTTGCTGCGCTCTTGCAGCAAGCCTAGCTGTCTCAGTTCGTGTATATAATGCTGATTCTCATAGTTTTATAGTTAGTGTTAGTTGTAAGTTAGCTAGCTGTTGGGGGGTTCCCCTGTCCCCTCCTGGGGCATGCCCAGGTCCCCAGGGTTTAAACTCTGTGCGGTCTGTGGGAAGTTTATGCCAAAGAGTGACCCGCACTCTTCCTGCTTGAGGTGCTTCGGAGAGGGCCACCAGAGAGATTGGTGCCGTATCTGCAAGGGGTTCCGTCCCAGGACTCTCAAAGATAGAGAGCAGAGACTTAGAGTTCTTCTGCGGACCCCGAACCCGCCGACCCAGCGCCTAGTACCTCATCCTCGGTGCGCAGCGCTCCGGCACCTCTAATAAGGGAAGAGGCGCCCAGTCTAAGGATGCCAGGCCCCGGCACCGGAGAGACTCGGGACATAGGAGGTCGGCCTCCATGCGGCACCGCTCACCATCCCCGGTGCCAATGAAAAAGAAGAGGCCAGTGAGGAGCCGGTCACCCCACCAGGACCTTAAAAGGCCGGTGGCGTCCACAAGTGTGGTGGGACAAGCTGCGCAACTGGAGCCTCCTCCCAAGGTTGCGCTGACTCCTGCCCCTGTTGGGGTCCAGTCGAGTCCGGACCGGTCCAGGTCCCTGGACCATTGCGAGGACGTGCACCTCCCATCGACACCGGAGGCGTTCGAGGCGGCTTCGGACCTGATGAGTCTGCCAGTGCTGGCCTACCCGCACTGGAAGGAAGAGCCGCCAGTAACTACCCGGCCCCCGATCCAATCAAGGGGCTAACCGATGGCGCCACAGTCCCCGCCTCGCACCGTTCCGGCACCGCCGGTGCAGAGGGAAGTGCCTCCTCATTCCCTGGCCTCGCAGC